TAAAGGGAAATATGAGGAGATCTTTTTGTCGGAAATTGTTGAGGAGAAAGACCCAAGGTGCAGAAGAGTTCGGCGAAAGCATTACAATAATGAAATTATAAAAGATTTCAACAAAAAAATCCTCAAATAATTCGGAAAAATACATGTGTATCCCCACAGGAATGCTTCCACGTAATATTCGAAAGCCGAATAATCAATCTTCATCCACTTCAAATATTAACTTTAGAAAACCTTCCCAACAGGAGAAGGAACGTCTTCCAGGCCATCTGGAGAGCTTTGACATCGTCCTTGTTGACGACCAGTCTATGGACGTCATCAATGAAATTTTAGACGCAACACTCTGATGATTTTTACTCTGTATTTCATACCTTGAGTTTCATTGAACCTCTTCAGAGCCACAGAACATAAATCAACGATTGTATTAGCTCATACTTTTATCATCTTTTGAAACGTCATTTATTTAACTGGCCGTTATCGATCTTGTTACAACGAATCATGTCGACATATATTTTGTATTTTTTTTTTCTGGATACTTTAAGAGTACTTTTTATCGCTGCCGTTAAGAGAATAGAATAAATTCTGAAGATTCTGAATAATATTTTTGTGTTATTGCCCCGAGAGCTGTCTCCCGCCAAAAATTATGTTTAAGTTATTCCGCGTGTACCTCAAAACACAACAGCTTCTGAGTGAAACTCTAAGGAACTTTTTTCTACCCCAGAACATTCCTCACAGAAAACTCCACAGGTAGAATTCTCCAACTACCGTCCTACCAGAGATATTCACTGCATAATCAGCAGAAACTTTGAGAATTCACCGCCGCACTCACAAATTCTGGAGGAGTTATTTCGAGTATATGTCAGAATGTAATAGTTTGGGAGCTAAACTCAGAGGAATTTTTTCGTACCCCACGAAATACTCTACAGAAAATTCCTCGGGCAAAATTCTGCACTTCCGGTCCTTCCCGCGATATTCACAGAATAATCACCAGAAAAGCTTCTGAAATACATCCCTACGCTCAGGAATTCCTCCCAACTTATTTCCTAAAAATGTCAGAACGTGCCAGTATCCGACAAAAGCTCAGGGGAACTTTTTGGTAGTCCATGGAATTTTCTACAAAAAATCCCCTCGTCGAAATTTTCCAGCTTTCATTCTCGCAGGGATATCGACAGAATAGTTTCAATGAAAATTGTGACACTCACCCATTGCTCTGACAGGATTCTCCCACTCTGCTCAGCTGTGTTCACATAACACGAGTGTTGTCAACAGCATTCCATTAATTTCTCACTCACTGACACATGTTTTGTTCGGATATAGCCACGAGTTTCACACGCATCCGATAGCCAAGACGAAAACGAAAAATAAGAGAACAATCGCGTGCTATCCACAGTTTCCCAGAACTCCGCGTATTCCTCAACTCCCAAACAAAAGCGCAACCCCAAAGTGAGATTATTTTATTACCTCGGAATGCCTTGTTAATCCGAAACAATTGAACAGGAATAACGGATCAAAACAAAATGAAACTGTCAGTCAAATGGATAAATCGAAGTGTCTGTTCCATTGAATTTTCACATTGAACCGTTGAGACGACGCGAAGACATTTTTATTTGAAAGAAGACTGGCAGCACCGGCATGACGAACGTCTAGAGTCCCTCCTTCTGATAGGCCTGTCATCGCCGATTTATCCTGACGATTAGTGATTTGTGTTGAATTGGTTGAGAGTTTGAAGATACATCTTGAGGAGTTATGGATGAAATTATCGAGGACAGATTAATCAATAATGCAATTTGTGAAGAAACAACACGACAATGGGTCACCTCAGGGCGACTCGTGTCCCCCTGGCAGGATGGAAACAATAACAATGCCAAGAGACGGCTCAGGCGACGGTAAATAAATTTTTCTCTCGTCATTCTTTCATTTATTATAATCATGCTCATCTTCTATTTGTGATAATGTTTTTTCTAGGTATTTTGACAGAAAAGTTTTTTTTGAAGATTATTTAAAAAATCTCTCAACAAGAGACTGCAAAAATTATTGATAAGTTTAAATTATTTTCG